TTCTCGGCGGCGTTGAGCCGGGCGATGAACGTGTCGATGCGACGGCGCTCCTCGTCCGCGGTCTCGCCGAGGTTTTCCGCGTATTCGGAGAGGATCTGGAATAAAAAAATTAGCTGAAGCTGCCGAAAAAGCAAAGTTAATTGACGCTTCTCTATTTTAAAAACAATCAATTATTGTCAGTTTAATAGAACTTTTTTACCCTTGTTTCCTATCAAACTAAATTTGGCGCAAAACTGAATTTTTGTGCCATAATGACGGCATCCAAGCGAAAAAAAAACGAAAGAAAATTCCGACATGCAAACTTCTGCTATGACGAAATGCCGACGAGCAGCGCGACCGAAAGTCGAAATTCTGCTTGCCAAAATACCGACAACAGCGGGAAAAGCACCGAAATGCCGACAGCCAAAGTATCGATACTCCAAAATGCCGACACACCAAAACACCGACATCCAGAAAGCTAAACTATATAAAAGCACATCTCAATTTCAAGCGTTTTTGTGTCGGAATTTGGCTTTCGCCTCCTGACTTGTCGAAATTTCGAATGTCGGCATTTTGGCATGACGGTATTTTGGCGGTCGGTATTTTTAACGTCCGACAAACCCGCGAAAAACTGACCGGGATAAAATGGGCGCTGAGCTTCTCCTGGCGCACCTTCATCGAGAACAGCTTGATGGCCCGTTGCCGAGCCGAATTCAGCTGCACGCAAATGTCCGACTAAAACAAGGCACAAAATTTGAGGCGATGATGATCATCTACTGACCAGTAGGAGCGTGACGTTCTGGAGGGTGTAGAGGCCGCCGTCGAGCCGGTCGAGGTACTCGCGCATCTTGTCGCCGTCGCCCTTGTCCGCCGGCGTGGTGTTCTCCTTGTTTTGGCGCTGGATGAACTTGTCGACCTTGCCGCTGAAAAAAAATTAAATTGCGGGTTTTTGAGCATTATCGGGCGGGGGGCACTTTATTGCTTAGGATCGAATTTTTCAGATATAAATAGTGAAAGTGTTGCAAAATGCTTTTTACTTTTCCTAAACGTGAAAACTTTACAAATTTGTATTAAAAAATATCAAAAATATCGATTTTATAAAACTTTTTAGCTAATTTTTCTAGATTAAAGATAGTTTTAGATTACTAAAAACGCTTGAAAGCACTTTATATGAAATTATTAGGCATTTCCAGACCTCTATAAAAAGTTCAGACCCCCCCCCCGATAATACGAAAGATCCTAAAGTTCTAGAAGGCTCTAATTTCTCCAAGAATTTCTGCTAGTAGCTAATACCAAAACCGTACCGATACTTCAAAAACAGCTCGACCGCCCTGTCGACCTTTTCGTGCTCGTGCTCGGCAAACTTTTGCATGATTCGCTGCCGGGACTCCTCGTCGCAAGAGCGAAGCAGGGCCGCCAGCACGGCCACCACGTGCTCCTCGTGCTCATCGGGGGGTTGTGTCCTTCCGCTTCACCTTCGCCGGCGTGCGCATGAAAAGGGGGAACAGCGTGCGGAGGCCTAAAAATGTTTGAAAATTTTACAGGAATTTCCTTACCCAAGATCTCGACAAACTTTGCGCAATTCTCCTTGCCCTCGGGGCCGGTGGTGGCGTGGTCGAGCACCTGAAAATGGACCTAAATCTCCAGAAAATGGTACTTTTTTCATTAATGGGGGGAGGGAACTTTTTTGTATACGTCTACAACTGTCTAGTAACTTCATAGCAACTGCTTTAATTCTTTTTTTAGTAAAACAAAGCTATAACTCAACTAGAAAACTATCTAAAACGCTTTGCAAAAGTCGAAAAACGGCCATTCTCGGTCGAAAATGAATAGTTGGGCATTTTTCGTAACATTTTATATAGTTTTCACGTTGCGGAATTTCCACTATTTATTGCTATTACATTACTAAGCATATCTGGACTCGAAGGAGAAATTTTCGCGCTGTCAAAATAATGCGAAAAACCCAGAAAAATTCCGGAAAAACCTCGGCTAACTCGCCAGACCAAAAATTCCGCACCTTCAACGCGCTCTCGCGACTCTGCTTCCGCTCGCGCAGCATCAGGTTCATCAGCTGCAGGCCCTCGCCGTCGAGGAACTTCTTGCGGTTGGGCGGGTGGAGGAGGGAGGAGCAGAGGCCGTCGAAGAGATTCTCCATATGCTCGCGCTCGTCGAGACTCGTCGGGTCGTGTCGTTTGTAGGAGGCCAGGGCCTAAAAGGAAAAATAAGAGATAAGTTCTTTTTCGGGAAGGCAGCCTAGCAGAGATTCTTTGAGAAAAGGCAGGCCAGCAGAGATTCTTTAGGAAAATGCAGGCTAGCAGAGATTCTTTAGGAAAGGGCAGGCTAGCAGAGATATTTAAAAATCCAAACCCACCCTGAGCAACAGCTCCATCCCGTCCACCTTGGCCGTCAGCTGCTCCCTGGCCGCGTCGCTAGTCTGCAACAGCAGCGCCAGCATCTCGCTCGCGTACATCTTGTTCCCGTCGAACGTGCCGCGCTGCGTGGCCCTAAAAACGTAAAACTTAAACATTGAAACAAAAATACCTCTTGAGGAGCCACTGGAACAGGCCATGCTGGACGCAATCCTGTGAAAAGGCCGGGTGGAAGTCGAGGATCTAAAAAAATGATCATCTACCAATTTTTACTCACATTTTCAAAAACTGTCAGCCCATTGTGCAGCGCGTCCGCGTCGTCTTTGACCGTTTCGTTCAGCGTGGCGAAGGAGGCGACCTGAAAAAAGACGGGTTCTTGAGCATTATAAGGGGGGTCGAGCCTTTTCCGGGGGTTTCCAGGGGTTTTGTTTTATAATATAACCGGCAATTTATTTATTTTTTCCAGCTTCAAAAACAAAGATCTCACACAATTTTATTTTACGACAAATTCTGAGATTTTTTGCCTAAAATCATCGGTTCCGAACAAAATTTCGAATTTTTACTTTTTCTAATCTTTTTTTTGACGCGTTTTGCACTTGAACATTGCTAGATTTGAAGAATTTTTTCAATTAAAGTTCATTTAAAAAAGCTAAACTTAATTAAGTTAAAAATTAAAGCAAAATAATTTCAAGGCCATAGAAATCAAAACTCACAATACACTCCACGATGCGGGCGTCAAGCAGGGCGCGGACGAGCTGTTCAGCGCCCTCCACGCTCTCGTTGAGGATGTCGACGTCGGTGAGCTCCTGAAAATATGTAGAAAATTTCAAACTCTACAATTTTATAAATAAACTAAAGTATTAAAAATTCAGAAAAATAGATCGATAGATAAAAAAAACTTTTTACCTGTAACAAATTCAACGTGGCGCCGACGATGTCGCTGTTCTCGTGGCTGAGGAGGGTGATGAACAGCGGGATGGCCTGGGCTTCGATGAGTGTGCCGTACAGCTCGGGGTTGGTGGCGAGCACGTGCATCTCCTGAAAAGTGGCATTTTATTGGCATTTTCTAAAATGAATATAAATTCTTTTATTATTTTCTAGGGACAAAAAACTCCTGAAAACGGAACTTTGCCATATTGTAAAATCAAAAAACTCGAAAATTTGCATACATTTTGTAATTAAAAATCGAAAATTACTCTAATTTAATTCTAAATAATAATTTTATTATTTTTCGCTCAAATAAATATCGGAAAACGAAATTTTTTTAGCCATGTAAAACCCGTTACGCCACCAAAATCTGCATAAATTTCCGGCAATCAGCATACGAAAAGCCGGAAGAAAGCCGAATTTTGGGTGTGAATCCTCGTATAAAATGGGGCCGCTTTTGGGCTAGTTATCTTCAGTTTCTTCTGCAGACCACCCCCCATCCACCGAACACCCCGAAGATGCCGGCCGCCAAGGAGGACACCTGGGCTTTCCAGCCGATCGGATCGCCGTTCCCCGACAACCCCGTCAAGGTGCGCCGCGTCGTCGAGGCGTTCAGCCCACGTTTACGCCCCGGCGTAAATGGTGGCACGTCTTCGAGACGTACACCCCTGCTGCTGCTGTAGCAATTTCCCGGCTTTTTCAGGTCAAGGGCGAGCAGAACATGTACGTGGCGTTGTGGTACAAGCACGGCAAGCCGATCCACGGCCGCTCGTGGAACAACGGAGGCGTCGTCGAGTGCTCGTTCGCCTACAAGGACGCGGAGTTGACCGGCGCCAAGGATCTGGGCGGTCAGATCCAGGTGCTGCTTTCGGCCGGACGCTCTGATGATCATCTCCTTGCAGGTGCTCCAGTACAAGGGCGACCACACGACGCTCGGCTACTGGTACAGCTGGGTGAAGTACAGCAGCCGCTTCGACAAGAACGACGCCGAGCTGCTCAAGTGCGGCGACTCGATCCCCATCTACTGGCCGAACTCGCCGGACGGTGGCCTGCTCGGCTACATCGACAACAAGACCGAGATCGGATGGTTCTCCATCAACAAGAAGGTGCGGCGAGGGGTGGAACGGCTTGATAACGTGCCCGGACCCAAGTGAAATTTCGGCTTAACCTCTAAATTTTGGCCATTCCGAACTGCTTGCTGACGCTCAGGGCTGAAAAATTGGCGCCTAACCTCCGAATTGTGGTCTTTCTGAACCGCTTGCTGACGGGCGGGGTTCAAAATTTGGCGAAAACTAGAGGCTTTCGGCACAGTGAACTGCTCGCCGACGTCCCCCAGATTCACCACCCCTTTTCCAGGTCATCAAGAAGGTCGGCGGTGAGCTGAACGACATGCTGGTCATCTTCCGCGAGCTGAAGGGCGCCCCGCCCGGCTGCGAGTGCAAGGCGTGCGCCAAGGAGCCGCCGAAGCCGATGCCGCCCACCATCCGCGTCATGCTCAACGAGTGGGCCGATCTGCGTGCCGGGGACCCGTGGCCGGCCAAGGCGCCGGTTAAGGTGAGCAGCCACGACCTGACCGCCACCGTCACAATGTTTATCTTCAGGCCCTCGGCAAGTCGCTGGACACGCTGCCCGGCGAGAACCCCGACCAGTACGTGGCGCTGTGGTACCAGCAGGGCGAGCCGGTCATGGGCCGCGTCTGGAACGAGGGCGGCAAGATTGCGGCCAACTTCTCGTGGGGCGGCAACGAGTACAAGAACAACATCGGATCCCTGCAGGTTTGTCACTTGATCTGCTACTATAATATGGCGCTGATCTGCAGATCCTGTACGAGTTGTCGGAGCACGTGCGCGGTTTCGACTACGGCTGGATCCCGTACCCGGAGGCGGCCAAGTTCGGCGACAAGGAGTGGCACCCGGTGCACGTCAACCACTACAAGGGCGACATCTCGCCTGGTGTGATCACCGTCGGCGGCAAGCAGATCCTCGGCAAGGTGAGGGCGATGGAGTGGACTGCTTGAGAATGTTATTTTGGGGGTAGGCTATCAAGAAACGCGGGTTCACTGAACGGCTTCAAATCCTCGCTGCGCTTATCGATTGATGGGCAGGCTAGCAGCAATGCTTTGTTCATCACCGTGACCCGTTCGAACTTGACGCGGATCCATTTTTCGCGGCGCAGGCGTCCGAAAAATTCTAATGCGCCCCTGAACGGCTTGAACTTGCCGCGATGCCTTTTTTTCGACGCGCAAGCCTGAGAACCCCTGAACGGCTCGAACTCGTCGCAGACACACCCCATTTCCAGGTCGACATCAAGAACGAGCGCTGCTCATACGGCCAGGGCGGCAAGGAACAGCTGATCCAGGGCCCCGCCGTGCACACGACCATCGTGCTGTGCCGCAAGTGCAAGCCCGGCTGCAAGTTCGACTGAGCGGACATCATCTACCACCTCGACACCCCACCTTTTCCCCTCCATCCATCGAACTCTGTGTGCCCCCGTTGATCAACTACCGCCGGCCATTTATAGCCTCGTCTTCTTGTGGCCTTTTGTGTAACTGTCAAACGCAAATAAAGATGCGTGTCCTGATTTGGGTCGTGTTGAACTACACTACAAAAAGCTGACGAAGGCTACAGACTACAGGCTACAAAAGCGCAAAAGGATACAATACAAAATACAATTTAATGAGCCAAAATAAAAAACACTACGACTTGCAAACTCCGGGCTATAAACTACAAACTACAAAAATGGCTAGCTGGCTACGGCTACGCTAGAGAATTTAAATCACTCATTTATATTTAATAAAAATTGCTTGATTTAAATTTAATTGAAAAGAGAAGTAAAAGAAGGCTGCCAAGATTGGAGGCTACGCTACGCTACAAACTACATCTTCCCCAGGTTACAAACGACAAACTACAAAAAAAATTGGAATTGTCTACAAAATCCACTACGCTCCAAACTACAGCTTCCCAGGCTACAAACCACAAAATCGAAGCGAAAATCTATTGAGTACATCACGCTAAAGCAGACAGCCGCAAAATGATACCTGAATGCCGGTGTCGAGCTCAATCTCCGAGTCCATGAACTTTTGCGGGTCGTCGCCGTGCTTGATGCGCATCTCGCGGTTCCGCTGCACGCGCTTCTCCAGCTGAAAAAAAATTGAAATATAAATCGTGAAAGCATTTCCATATGTTTTTATTATTCCTAACCGTATAAAAGTTCAAATCATTAGTAAAAAAATCCAAAAACAGGACCGTTTTTGACCGGAATTTCAACTTCGCAAAAATAAATTTAAAAGAAAAAATGCATTAGAATGAATGAAACGTTTTTGGATCGTTTTTCTAAATAAACGAAAATATGTAAAGAGTTGAAACAAATCTTTTGAAAATAATCTTTAAACAAAAAAAAATCGATAAAAAAAGGTTTTTAAAAGAATTTTTTCCAAAGTCCAACCTGGGCGGTCAACTTTTTCACGAGCGCCTCGTCGACGTCCTGGGCGAGGGCCGAGTCGGACTCGAGCGCCGCGAGAATGTCGGCCTAAAATTGGAAATTAATCTTTTTAACTTCTTCGAAATGTACCTGCTTGGCCCCGGTGGCCAGCGACGGCATCATGCCGCCGTACCCGTTCGGCTCGGCCTCGAGGCGCATCTTCTTCTTCTCGGGCTGAAAAGGTAGAATTAATAAAATGTACAAAATCACGAAAAACATTTAAAAACGTGCTCAAAAATACCTCTCTGGCCCCGCGCAAAATCTCGTCCACGTCAATCTCGGCCATGGCGGCGACCGAAGAATGGGCGGGCAGAGGTCCTGGAAAAAAAAATCGAAAAATTACGAGAAAAAAAAGTTAATTTTCGGAAGTGAGGCATGGAAAACAGGGAAAAGCATTGAAAGCCAACATTTGGAAGTTGAAAAGAGGAAAAAAGAGGATGGAGAGTGCGAGAGAGAGACAGAGAGAGAGAGAGAGAGAGAGAGAGAGAGAGAGAGAGAGAGATAGACAGAGATAACCTTAAAAACTAACGTATAATGAATCAAGACGCCGATCGAAAAATGAAAGTAGAATTTCACACCGATGTTAAAAAATGGGGATTTCCTAAAAGCGTCTTACAAATGACGTAAAAATAAAGAAACAGAGAGAGAGAGAGAGAGAGAGAGAGAGAGAGAGAGAGAGAGTGAGAGAGAACCTGAAGATCTTTCGCTAAAATATAAATTCGATCGATAAACAACAAGAAATACACGAAGATTTGCAAAAACTTCGTAATTCTACAAATCTTCGCATGGTTTTCAATACGCACAATAACATAAAACCTAAATATAGAATTCTTACATAACCTAACTAACCTACAAAACTTAAAAAGGATTCTCAACGTGGCAAAAATAAATTTTTAAGTCTTTTCCGCACGTTTTTATAACTTTTCCTTGTCAACATGTCATTCCTAAGATTTCCTGCCGGCCCCAGAAAGGAATCGCGGAAAAGACAGAGTGCGAAAAAGATAGATAAGCGAGACATTGCCGCGGCTTCTGCACAATTTTCGACCCGCCGCATCCAGGCCAAGGGCATCATTTCTCGCCGCCGGTGAAAATGATTCTATCAATCGGACTGGCCATTCTCGCCGTGATTCTAACAATTCTTTACCTATATTTTTCACGCCCTATCAATTATGTGGTTCGAATGGGGGAACTGGGGTTTAATTTGGGGCCCAGTGACGTAATCGATTTTCAAAATCAAAAATGCTACTTTTTTTAGTCCAAGGGAACATATCGAGAGCGTCAAATCGAGCGGCTGAAACGTTTGCGAAAAGTCGGCGAACTGCCGCCGGTCTATCCGAACGGGTAGGAATTTTGTGTTGCTGTTTTTAGACATTAAATCCGCTTAAAAAAAACTTAAAAAAAAGCTATTTTTTAGATGGTTTTGTATCGCCGAGTCGGGGGAAGTGAAGGCCAAGGAAATCAAGGCTGTCATCGTTTTTGGTGAGTCTAAAATAAAAAGGTTGGCGGAAAAGAACAGAAAATTCTCAAATTATCTCTGCTAGCCCGCCCTTCCTAAAGAATCTTTGGCATTTCCTAAAAAAACTTTGCAAGCATGCCACTTTCCGAGTTTTTCTGCAAAATTGAAATTTTCAAATTTCTCTGCTATTCCTAAATTTCCTTTGTGAGCTTGTCCTTTCCTAGAGAATCTCTGCCAGCCTGCTTTTTCCTAAATACTCTCTGCTAGCCTACCAATTACTAAAACTTCTAGGCGAGCAGCTGAGCCTAATCCGCGCAGAAGATGGCCAAGTCTATTTAATGGAATCCTATTGCCCGCATTTAGGCGCTAATCTAAATGTCGGTGGAAAAGTAAGATCAAAAATTTAAAAAATAAGTTAAACATCAAAATTTAGGTCATCGACAACAATTGCGTACAATGCCCCTTTCACGGTTGGGTATTTTCGGCGGATTCCGGGAAATGCGTACGCATCCCCTATGAGAAGGGCTCGATCCCGGAGCAAGCTAAAGTGAGGATGAAGTCTATAACAAGGATTTCTAGCTGAAATGCCGACATTAAAATAAGATCCTGACAACCAAATAGACGAAATTTAAACCCCCCAAATCTTCGAAATCACGAAAATCAAAACCAATACAAGAAAACTAACGAAAATAGTATTTTCCATGTCGGCATTTTGGCGTTTTAAAGTAGCTTTAGATTAAGTAAAATTTAGATCTCGACGTGGCCAGTAGTGGAAAAGAATCGGCACATTTACGTGTGGTATCACTGCGATGGGGAGATGCCCCATTGGGAAATCCCGGATATTGACGAGGTGGAGAATGGGAGCTGGCCATATAGGGGACGGACTGAGCACGAGGTAAAAATACAAATTCAGGATTCTAAAGATGTTTAAACTCCTGAAAATTCAAGTTGTTAGGCTAAAAAGTATAAAACCTACAATCCTAAAAACGTCATAATTTCGCCTACAAGTAAATGTTAAAAAAACTGTTTTAGAAACTTTAAAATCACGAGGATTTTGCTAACGGCTTAAAGTATAAAATAAAATACGTTTTGATTACTTCTAAATCCTGAAAATTCCTCAAAAGCCTAAAACCAAAAAAAAAAACCCAATTTCCTCTTCTAAAAATGATCTTGTTAAAAAAGCAAAAACGCGTTTTGCATTTAAAATCAATCTTAAAAAACTCGTTCAGCTGCTATGCCATTGCCAAGAAATCCCGGAAAACGGCGCCGATTTGGCCCATCTAAACTATCTACACCTACAAATTCCACAGGCAGGTCAGGGTCGAATTACCGCGAAAAATCCAATTTGTTTAGGAAATAACGTTATGGAGTTGAAACTGAACAAAACGGACCCGATCCTACATCACTTTTGGGATGGGGGCTGGGAAGTAAAGAACGGGGAAGACGAGAAACACATTTCTATCATGACCCTACAACAGGTAAGCCTTAAAAAAATTATATTTTCCGGTTTTTAGGTGATGAAAATTGGGGATAAAGAAATCCCGCTGACTGCCAGTCTTTTAAAGGCTCATCAGGTAAAAATAGAGATGTAGAAGCCTGAAAAAACTATCAGATCGGGCCCGGAATCGTCTATATGCACTTCGATTTTGGTTTCTGGGGCCGGGGGATTGTTTTTCATCACGTAACGCCCGAGGAACCGCTTTTTCAAGTAGGCTAAATTGTCTAAAATTGACAGAAAATGCATGCCAACTATTCCAAAGCAATAAAAACTATTTAGAGAGCCCGCTTCGTACTCTACGGAAATATTAATCCGCTCTTTGCACGGTTTTTCATAAAATCCGAAGCGTTGCAGGTAAGTGATTCTAAAAAACGTCCAAATAGCAATGTTCTAGTTCGAAAGAGACGTCTATATTTGGTCGAACAAGCGCTACGTGAAAAGCCCATTGCTTTGCCGTAGTGACGGCCCGGTGCAAAAACATCGGCGATGGTCGGAATTTGATTTTCGAAATAGGAAAAAATCTGAATTTAGGTACGCCCAATTCTACAGCCAGAAAAGCCCCCGATTACTGCCGGATGGAACGGTGACGGGCCAAGTGAAATCGGTGCTCGATTGGTAGAAATATGGAGCTATCTGAGCCTACGAATAAAGCTTTGCCTCGATACGGAGAACCCCCCAAATGGCGTGTACTTTGTAGCCGAAAGGCGGCGGCCGGCGATTCGAACCTAGGGAAGCAAAGGACCCACGATTACCCCCAAAAATCTTACATTAAAACTTTAAAAAGTGACACCTCCCTCTTTATCACTTTGATCCTGAATCCAGAGCGACAATCTTGATCATACTCCACGGCAAAACATCTAGCATTCGTCGAACTACATCCAATCGTTTCAATCGTGCAGAAATTACTAAAAACAAAATATAAAAACATTTGAAAAAATAGATCACGCCATAAAATCCGGAAAGTACACAATACACCAAATTACGAAATGACGGCGTTAGTAGCACAACGTACTGATCGAAACCGAATCTGGCCAAATTACACGTCGTAATTGATTGATAAGTTAATTATTTCTAAAAATGCATCAATGAATGAAAAACTCGATGTTTTCTATGCTTTTCCTTTGAATTAACTCGTTTTAGGCCATTCAGCAAGGTCTTAAAGCTTAGTTTTTTAGATATGGCGGAGAAGCCGTCAACTTCCCGCGTCTGCGTCCATTGCCAGAAGCCGACGGAAACGCTGTACAAGACCTACTCGAGCTTCATCCGGATGACCGAATGCGTTAGTGTATTTTTGCTATTAATACCTACTCTTTTATTTCAGGAACAGTGCAAGCGGCCCGTGGACAGCTACATGGAGTGCGACAACGTGCTCGTCGTCATCGACCTGGCGCTGCAATACCCAAGTGCCTATCGCCATATTTTATACAACAAAGGGATTAGTGTGGGTTTTTTTTACTAATTATTACCTTTATTTTTTTTCCAGCATTTCCCCCGGCTGCTGACGATCCTGCTCTTCTGCGGCGCCTACGAAAAGTGGATCGAGAATCGGACTGATCAGCTTCAGATTTTCGATCTAGAGTGGAGGTTTGTATAGCTTTCAATTCTCTTAAAAATATTTAGGTTTTACCTATGTCTAATCGAAAGCGGGCTGGAGATGCTGGGATTCGTGCTCCTCGCTTTGTGCATGGAATACTGCATGAACGGCTCGCTGAAACGAGCCGATTTTGTGGCCAAATCGACAGTCGCTGGATTTTACGGTAATTGTAAATTATTGGAACTAATCAAAAGTACATTTTTTAGGTCGCGTCTGCGTCGTTTTGTCGATCATTTTTCGACTGTACTCCGAGTCGTCGTATCGCATCCTGATGCATCTATTCTTGTTTCTATCGCATTATCAGATTTGTAGAGGTAAGGAAAGCTTCTAAACGTGACAATTTATGTTTTTAGCCCTCCATCCAACCCTCACGGCCGTCGTCCCAGCCCTCTTCGTCCTCACCACAACCCTTTTAACACATGTTCTAGCCGGAACTATTCGTGAATTACTCGTTCCGTTGTGATTAAACTCTTGAGATATTTTAGGACTTTAATTTAATTTTGTTTCGGGTGAATTTGTGATGTCGATAAAGTTTTGAGAATAAAAAATGGCTTTTGCACGCTAAAGGTTCGAATTGTAGACATTGAAAGGTCAATTCCATACAAATACATACAATCCAAATCGATTAAAGTCTATGCAGGCTTGAAAAACATAGAAAAAGCATTTTATTGCGTTACAAAACAAAGATTACGGTGCTTTGGCGGAATTTAGACCGGGGCTACGCGAGAGTACAAAGGACACCGCTGCCGGCGCGGGCATTAGAGTGTCGTAATTAGAGGCTTGGGCAAAGTACCTTTCGCTTTATCGCGCTAAAATACTTTAAATTCAATGATTTAACCCTCAAAAAAATTAAAATTAGATTTAACCTTATTATACCTAACTTTTACAGCCGATGAGCGACTCCGAAGACGAGCGCCAGCAAGAAAACGAGGCCCCGGAGCCATCCCCGTCGAACAGAAACTACTGCTACAGCCTGGAATGCGCCGTGCGAATCGAATCGACCTCTTCCGGCCTTCGACGAGGAGCTGTGCAGTCGAAGAGTGCCATTGTGACGGTTGGAAGGAATGCAGAGAGGTGGGAAAAAGTTTGAAAGCTTGGAAAACGTGTTTTGAAACTAAATACGGTCCATAGATGATTTTTAACTTTAGAAAAATTGTCCTGCAAATCGAGATCCGGGCGAATGGGCGCGGGGCGCCGGCCGTGTCCAGCTACGAGCTGAAGGACTGCGTGGTACACGAGAAGACGGTTTCCCAAGGCAAAGGCGGCATCGAAATCCCGGCCAGGTTTTTTTAGGGCTTTTAATATAGTTTTAAAGCTTTTTTTATACGAATTTAATCATCATAATATTTTAGGCACCTCTCGATACACCTGAGCAACTGCGCCCCCCGGAAGCTGAACGTCTTCCTGAAGTCGCTGGCCGCCAAGATCCAGCTGATGGCCGCCGAGCGGAAGGGACCGACAACGCCGATCGCCGTGCATAGGTGCGTAGCGTACTGTTTTGGTTATTTTTGATGTAATTCCAGGCAACGCCTATTGACCGGCGGGCTGCCCGACATCTTCACCAAGTTGAGCCCGTTGACGGTGGGAGAGATACGAAAAGTCAGGAGGTGAACACATCCTTCAAATTTGAAAAATATAATATTTTTAGCATGCGCGGGATCGAGTCGCCATTGGCACGGAAGCGACCAGCGCCCTCTGACTCGGCCACGACTCCGAGCCGTACGCCCAAACGACCATCCCTAGCGCCGAGCCGCTCGTCTCCCAGATTTCGTCGATCGGAGGGAGCGACGCCGTCAAGACCGAGAATCGCGGTATGTTTTTTTTAATTTTTTTTTACCTGAAAGATTTAATGATTAGAATTTAAAACTATTTAATAAATCAATTTTTAGGCAGTGAACCCGGCCGCCGCGCTGGACCGCGTCGTGCTGTCCGCCGAGCAGAAGATGGTCGTCCGGAAAGTCGTGGAGGGCCGGAAGTCCGTCTTTTTCACCGGAAGCGCCGGAACCGGAAAGTCGCTAGTGCTGCGCCGGATTATCGAGATGTTGCCGGCAACGACGACCGTGGTGACGGCGGCTACAGGTTTGTGCTTTGGCTTGGCTTAGACTTGGCTTCGGCTTAGACATGGCTTAAGCTTAGGCTTAGGTTTACACTTACCAACTAATGAGCAATTTTTCAGGAGTAGCTGCTTGCCAACTCGGCGGCACGACGCTACACTCGTTCGCCGGCTTCGGAGTGGGCGGCATTCCGAAGGAGGACTGTTTACGGATTGTCGAAAGTACGTTACTTTACGCTTGAACTACGGTATTCTCGATTTTAGAAAAGAAGCAAGCTCTCCAAGCCTGGAAGCAAATCACGCATCTCGTCATCGACGAGATTTCGATGGTAGACGCCGACTACTTCACCTGCTTGGAATATGTGAGTTTTTCTCTCTATCTCACTGTCTCTCTCTCTCTCTCTCTCTCTCTCTCTCTCTCTCTCTCTCTCGCGCTTACCTATCGTAATCATTTACAGGTCGCCCGAAAAGTACGCTGTCCCAACGACCGTCCGGTGGTGTTTGGCGGAATCCAGCTGGTGATCACCGGCGATTTTCTGCAGCTTCCCCCAGTGGTACCAAGAGGTCAAGAGCCGAAATTTTGCTTCGAGGTAAGGATTTAAATTTCTTTAGCTACATACCTTTTGTGGCTTAATTTAAAAGGTTTTATTCGTTACTATTTATTATATTTAATCTATACTTGTTTAAATTTTAAATTGAACGTTTTCAGAGCCCCGCCTGGAACGTAGCCGTACAAACGACAATCCTGCTCAAGCAGGTACGGCGCCAGGACGATGCGGCGTTTGTGAGGGTGCTGAATGAGATTCGAGTCGGAAGGTGAGATTGTTTTTTATAGTTTTTAAATTGATTTTTAAACGAATGAATTCATGCTTTTTATTCACTAAAGTGTTTTATTAGCGACATTTAATTATTCTTAATGTTTTTTTTAGTATTGTAATAATTTTGCTACTTTTAGATGCCCAGCCTGGGTCTCCCACACGATGCGCGAGACCCGAAAAACCGTACTGCCGGCCACGGTGACCGCTACGCGCCTATGTACGCATTCCGCCGACGCCGAGGCCATCAACCGGGCGAGCCTCCAGAATTTGAATGGTATTTTTTTATTTAAATTAGCTATTAATGAAATTATTTAATTAGTGAATAAAATTTAATGCAATTTTTTCGTTTTTTAATGAAGTTCGATTTTCGAAATTCACTATTTGATTATACTTTCAGGCCTAGAGAAGACGTTCCACGCCGAGGACTCGGAGCAGTTCACGGAGAGCGCGACGGGGCTCGTGTCGAAGCGGTTGATTTTGAAGCAAAACGCGCAGGTTGGTGTCAAGTGGTGTATCTTGTAGTCTGGACTTAAATTCGTTATTTTATTTTATTCTAGGTGATGCTCACGAAAAACCTCGACCTCGCGCGCGGCCTGTCCAACGGAGCACGAGGCGTCGTCACCGGATTCGCGGGCAATGGCTTCCCGCTCGTGCGCTTTTTGGCTGGTGATGGGGAGCCGATCGAGGTATGGAAATTTTATTAATAGGTTGTAGTTATAGTGATTTTAATAGTTTTTCTTTTATACCTTATTTTTATTTTTCTATTAAATCGGTCTAAATTAAATTCTATATTAAAAAAACCTGTCTTTTAGATACGTCCCGTCCGCTTCCAGCTCCGCTCTTCCAACAATTCCGATCTACCAGGTATCGCTGGTTACGGTAGCTTATCCAGTTTTTAGCCATCCGCCGCCAGCTGCCCCTCCAGCTCGCCTGGGCCATCTCCATCCACAAAAGCCAGGGGCTGACGCTCGACGCCGTGGAGGTCGACTTGCAAAAGTACGTGTTAGGCTTAAGATATTTGTGTGGTACCTCAATGGTACAGTAATTTAGCGTAAAATATTTTATCCTACGTTTTTCAGGGTCTTTGCCGAGGGCCAAGCCTACGTCGCCTTATCTCGAGCTCGATCTCTTCCGGCGCTGAAGGTCACCGGATTTGACGGCGAATGCGTGAGGGCGAGTAAAAAGGTAAATTTTGCTCTCTCTCTCTCTCTCTCTCTCTCTCTCTCGCTCTCTCTCTGTCTGTCTCTCTCTAATCCCAGTTTTCCAGGTTGTCGACTACTATGAGAGCCTCGAAAATGCCAACGACGCCGAAGATGAGGAAATCTTCCCGGTGCGCCCGATCGCTGCGGGACCCAAGCGAACACGATTGTCATTTTAAACGCAATTCATTGTCATATTTCGATTTGTACTATGTATTTTTTGCGTAATTTGGATTATGTCGTATCTTTGCGATGAGAGGCGTGTGATTTTAGGATTTGCCATTTTTGCCTTTGTATGTTGTGTCTTTCGCGTTCGATTCTCAGCTGACTACTTTGATAAATGGATCTCATAAAATAGTAAAAAATTAAAATTCACTTTATTACAGTACGACTAGTTCATAAAGGGACTGCACATTCGCAAAAATGACAACTATGTGTATACATTGAAAGTATCAGGGCGGAATGACGAATCTGGGCACAGGCTACAGGTTAAGGAATGGCTACAAACTACAAAAATTGGCGCCAGGCGTGAGATCACAAAGGAAGCCGAACCACGCACTAATGATCGGTTAGAAAATAGCTACAGAAGAAGGCTCAGAAATCGATTTTAGGGGGTTACGATAATGGGTAGCTAGCAGAGATTCTTTAGGAAAGGTAGGCAGGCTAGCAGAGATGATTTAGGAAACTCAGAAAGCCGTTAGTGCCCCAAAAAGCTCCCCAAAAACATTGGCGGTGTTGGAGAGCAATGCGAACTCCTTGACGACGTCCCGCCGGCCTCTCCCCGCTCCGGGGATTCGGTGGCCGACTTCAGCTTCCCGCACGACTGCTCCATGTGACGATTCAAGTAGCTGCGCAGGGCAAAGCGCTTTCCACACGTGGAGCAGTTGTAGCGTTTATCGCCTGGAAAAAAGATATTCAGTAGGTCTAGGAATCTCGGCTAGCCTGCCCTTTCCTAAAGAATCTCTGCTAGCCTGCCCCTTTCCTAAAGAATCTCTGCTAGCCTGCCCTTTCCTAAAGAATCTCTGCTAGCCTGCCCCTTTCCTAAAGAATCGCTGCTAGCCTGCTTTTTCCATTCCTAAGTGAGCCCGGCTTGCCCCCCCCTCCGTGGTTAGGAGCGACGTGTAGCATTGGGCCTCTGGATGGGAGGCTTATTGTGGAAATGCTTGTTGCCATCACTCATCTCATGCTCCCCTCCATTCCCCCTTACACTCCCAAAATGCTGTTGCCAGCCTTTGCGGGATTATGGGTCTTAACCCAAGCGAGCATACACCCCTCTCCCTCCCCACCTACAAGTTTGCGAACAGAAAAAGGAGCACCAGATAGTAGTGGAAAATCGGGGCACCAGCAGCGATCATTTGGGAATGGAAAGGGCAGGCTAGCAAAGATTCTTTAGGAAGGGCAGGCAAGCAGAGATTCTTTAGGAAAGGGCAGGCTAGCAGAGATTCTTTAGGAAGGGCAGGCTAGCAGAGATTCTTTAGGAAAGGGCAGGCTAGCAGAGATTCTTGAGGAAGGGGCAGGCTAGCAGAGATTCTTTAGGAAAGGGCAGGCTAGCAGAGATCATCTACGTTACCATCCAAAAACTTACCTGTATGCGTTAAAATGTGCGCCCTCAAATTGCTTCGATCTGCAAACGCTTTTCCGCAGTGCGCGCAGCCGAACGGCTTCAGCCCGGTGTGAGATCGCATATGACCTTAAAATGAATTATTTTAATTTCCCCATTGCTCTGTGCTAGTTACCCCAGAAAAGGTGGAAAAATGCCTAGAAAATGGTCTTAATTACCTTGTAATAGCCAGAGTCTCGAAAAGACTTTTCCACAGACGTCGCAGGCGTGGGAGGCCTTGTGGGTGAGGATGTGCATACTGTAATTCAGAAAATATAGGAATTGAATTATTGGTATTTTTAATGCGAGAGAGAGGGGGAGAGAGTGAGAGAGAGAGAGAGAGAGAGAGAGAGACGTCCTAGCCGGGTTTTGGGTGGCTGGAAGCGGCAGGTGGCCGTGTTGCGTAATATCCGGATGGATGGCGAGACCTTGTTGGCCTTGCCCTGCCATTGGCCCCACAATTAGGGCCAATATAATCCGGGCCCCCTGGCCAATCAACACCTTTAAAGGGAGGGTGACAGGAAGTAAAGAAAGATACGCTGCCCAGGTCAAGACGACGTTACGCTACTATACGTTACGTACACTACCGTACGCTACTCTGGGTTATGACTGGAATTTTTTAGATCTAAATTTTTTATACTTTTTTCTTAGGATATAATTCTTCAAATATAAATAGTGGAAGTTTTTGAAATGGTTTTTTTACTATTCCTAAACGTGAAAACTTTGCAAATTTGTATTAAAAAGCAGCAAAAATACCGATTTTTCGACCGAAAAAGGCCGATTTTTTACCAATCGGCCTGTTTTTAAGGTTTTTGGATAGTTTTTCTAGTTGAAATTTAGTAATATATTACTGAAAACACTATGAAACTATTTTCTATTAAATTACTAGGCATTTTTAGACTCATACAAAAAATTTGCCCCCCCCCCCCCCCCGATAATGCAAAAGAAGCATGATCGATTTTGAGCTTGTCTACATCTTAAAGGAGCGTGCAAGTCAGAGCTTCTACAAATCCATACCTTAACGCCGGCATACTGACGTAGACACGATCGCAATGTGGGCACTGTTTAGCGTACGGGCTGTCGAGGGCTCGATGGGTCTGCTTGTGCCGAGAGAGGTTGCTTCTAAAAATGAGATTTTACTAGATTGTTTTTACTCTTTAAATACCACTAGTTTAAGACAGAGTCTTAGGTATTTTTAAACATATATTATAAAGCGCATGCTACGTTGCGCAACAACTTACGACGTAGCGTAGCTCTTCCCGCAATGCTCACAAACGCAGCGCCCCGGTTTCTCTTCTTTCTCGTGCGTAGAGCGATCTCGTTTCTTGGTTCTCCCGTCAGCTGTTTCTAAAATATAGGTAAGTAGATCAAGTATAGCTTAAACTGGAAATTAAACCCTTAAAAATTTTAAAGCTACCGTACCTAGGGCATCGAGTGTATAGGCGATCACGTCAGATCCCGGGGAGTGAGAGCTGCTGGAGAAGGAGGACTGAAAAAATCTATCGTGAGGTGAGAGAGAGGGAGAGATGGAGGGAGAGAGAGATGGCAAGAAAGGAGAGAGACAGAGATAAAGAGAGAGAGAGCGAGAGAGAGAGAGCGAGAGAGAGAGGAGAGAGAGAGGGAGAGAGAGCGAGCACGAGAGTGATAAAGACAGAGGGAGAACCACAGAGAGCGTGTGTGAGAGAGATAGCGAGAGATATAGCGAGAGATGGAGAGGAACGCGAGAGATAAGAGGGACAGAGACAGAGAGCGACATAGAGAGACAGCGGAGACAGAGAGATACATGCAGAGACAGAAAAAAAGAGAGAGAGAGAGAGAGAGAGAGAGAGAGAGAGCGAGAATGGGACCGAGGATGGGAGAGAACGAGAGAAAAAAAGCTGTTTTTACCGGTTTCTCATCCTCCAAACTCGAGTCCTCCTTCAAATCCAGCAGTGTGTGAATGGAGAATTGCGATGGTTTCTGAAATTTGCAGAATTTTCAAGGGTACTGTACTTCTTTGTCCCTTTAATGCCCTTTCTCCACGTTTTTTTTTGATATTGCGACTATAGCCAAAGATGGAGGGCTATCAAAAGCGGTCTGCCGTTCCCCCCACTTCCTGGCAATCTGCCAATCAGCCCCCGGCTTTTTTGCCATTTCCGACAGCCGGCCGTCCCCGCGCATATCAACGTGCAACAATTATTTTGTCACAACTTGCATCGGTGCCTTGGTTCTTTTACATTATCGGGGGGGAGGTTGTATAAGTCTATAAATGCCTAGTAACTTAACCCGAAAGTTGTTAATAGTGGGTTTAGTAATCAATAACTATATTTCAACTAGAAAACCATCTAAAAACTTTCAAAAAGTCGAAATTTTGGCTAAAAATCGGTCATTTTTGGCCGAAAAATCGATGTTTTTATATTTTTTAATACAAATTTGTAAAGTTTGTGGGTTTAAGATAAGTAATAAACCATTTAAAAACTGTTTTGCTATTGAAATTCAAGAAATTAATATAACTTTAAATTCAAAATAATAAATTAAAATTAAAATAATAAATTCAAAAAAAATAACGCGGCTTAGCGTATCGTAGTGTACGTAGCGTATAATAGCGTAATGTGGTCATGATTTGGGCTGCTTAGCGTAACGTAACCTCAAGAAACGTAGGAGAATTCTACCGATAACGTCGCGTATTGCAACGTATCGTAACGTACGTACATAGTAGCGTAACGTAGTCAAGACTTGGGCAGCGTAGCATAACGTAGCCTCAAGAAACGTAGAAGAATTTAGCAGAATTTAAGGTAGTCTAGTTTTACTTTGCTTCACCTACCATACCCTGCAGTAGTGCAACGTAGTCTAGGGTATTCTAACTTAGCTTAAAAGGACAGTTCGTAGGGCACCGTAACGTAGGTACGTAACGTAGGTAACGTAACGTAGGTAACGTAACGTAGGTAACGTAACGTAGGTAACGTAACGTAGGTACCGTAGCGTAGCGACGTAGCGGAATATACGCAGGGAATTAGCTTATGTAAGTACCGTAAACTAGCATAACGTAACTTTACTTAGGTACCCGACCTGTCGTAAGTAAGTAGCGCAACGTAGCGTAGCGTAATGTACTGTAGCGGGTAATAAACAAAACAATACCTCAACCTCCGCATCCTTCTTCACAAAATCCGGTGTAATTGGTTGCGGTGCGGAGCATGAGGTTTGTAGGCTGGCATTGAGGAGTAACATTTGTAGATGTTGCAGATTCATGGAAAGGCCTGAAATTAGAATCTCAGCGGTTTAAAGGGATAGTGAAGGCAAATTCAGCTCCCTAAAACGCACCACCACCAAAAAGTTGGCGGTACTGTAGCTGCATCGCCAGGAGTTCGGGCAGCGTCAGGGCTTGAGGCTGGGCGGCGGGCAGAAAATTTGGCATCTGCGGGATGCCGGTGGCGGGCAGCATCTGAAAGTACGGTAGTACTACAGTACCCTTCAACGTAGCAACTACATAAAACCGGTCTACAGCAATCGACCAAAGATCACAAAAAGCACCAGAGGCTGGTATACGGTAACAGGTCCAACAAGGACCCGGTGACCCTGATGACCTTCATCCTTGGGGCCCAGGCCCTAGGTGGGCCCAAAAAGGGGCGTGGCTTCGGGAGTGGCCATTGGCTGGACTAGGGGTAGCCGATGGGCGGGTCTTTCAATCTCTCTCTCTCTCTCTCTCTCTCTCTCTCTCTCTCTTTCTCTCTCTCTCTCACTCCCTCTCACTGCCTCTCTATTGCTCTCTCTTGCTCTCTTGCTCTCTTTATCTCTCTCACTCACTCTCTTTCTCTCGCTTTTGCTCTGCTCTCCCTGCCCGAAAGTCCAAAAATCATAGGTGCAGCTCAGATACCTAAGAAAGAGAGATAGAGAGGGAGATCAAAAGAGAGCGGGAAAGCGAGAGAGACAGCGAGAGATGGAGAGAACGAGAGAGAAAGTGAAAAACTCGTTTGCATACCGTAGATTTAATTCCGGAAATTCCGGTATTTTGCATGAAAACCGTGCAATAAAAAAGCAGGCGCTCCAAGATCCAAACTATATCTTGGTTCTACTCGACCGCTCGACGAGCCCGACTTCGACATGTTGACGCTGCCAGTGAGTTTATTATTCCGGGGCTGGGCAGGCTAGCAGGGGTTCTTGAGGAATCTGGCTAGCAGGGACCCTTGAACGCCTCGAAAATCTTGCTCATCTTCAGCCCGACGCTCCCGGCTGCATGCGCTCCCTGAGCCTGGCCCTCCGCTGCGGTGACCCGATCTTCATCGACGCGCTCGATGCCGGCGATCTGCTGTGGAAGCGGTTGGTGGGGCACAGCGCTGATCTTGCTCGCAAGGGATTGGAGCTCGAGTTCCAGGTCCGCCAGGTTGGTCATCTGCTGCCTTGCTCATCTTCCTTGAATCCCAGGCCCGCGGCCAGCTCACCCACCTCGTGTTCGTCGCCGAGGAGTACGGGGGTGACCTGTCGCACTTGCTGAAGAAGTTGGAGAAGGAGAAGGCCAAGGATGAGGAGGACGAGGAGGAGGACGACCGGATGGACGCTGGCGCCGAGCAGGAGTCGAAAGGCGAGGAGAACCGGGCCGTCAAGACCGAGGAGGTCAAGCCGAAAGTGAGCAAAGAGGTACCGGTGTTCATCTACAGCATGCCGTGGCGTTTGAAGGGCCCTTTAACGAATTTCCACTTAGGATTGCGTGTGCGGCCCTCACTTTGGACTGCTCGGCGACATCTTCGAGTTCATGGAGTACCTCGAGGAACTGCAGACCTCCGTCAAGAGCATCAGGGACAAGGCGAGCCGGCAGAGAGCGTTTGGGGAACGTCTCAATGCTTTAGATCAACGCCGTCTACGCGGCCAACCACCAGCTGCAGCACGACCTCGACGACGTCAACGAGCTGGTCGGACTTATTCAGGGCACCTGAATTAGCCTCTTTTTACAGGTTGAAATCGCCACCACGCACCTCGACAAGGCGAAGCGGTACAACGGCTGGCGGGACTACCTGCCCTTGCCGGAGTCGGCGCCCGTCCCGAACTTTGTGAGTGGCAGAGGATTTGCTGCGGTTTAAAAAAATAAGTAGATGATCATCATTGTCAGGAGGTGCTGGCCGAGGAGGACAAGCCGGTGAAGCCGAAGACGTCGAAGACCAAGGTCAAGAAATCCGAGAAGACCGAGAAGGACAAGAAGGCCGACGTCGCCGACGAGGGTCAAGATCAGAAGACCGACGTCGCCAACGAGGGCAAGCCGGCTGAGCCCCCCAAGCTCGTCGAGTCCAAGACGTCCGACGTCGCCAAGGAGGGCAAGAAGCCGGTAGAAAATCATGGCAAACCTGTAGTGAATTGAGTCTCTCCAGGATGCGACGCCTCCGAAGCCGGACGTCGCCAAGATGGCCGACGTCAGCAAGGAGCGCAAGTCGGCCGAGCCGGCCAAGCCCGCCGAGCTCGTCAAGTCCGCTGAGCCGGCCAAGCCCGCCGAGCCGAAGAAGGTCGACGAGAAGCCGAAGGTCGTCGAGCCGAAGAAGGTATATAATGCGGTACTGAATTGTTAGCCGGGGGGAGAAAGTTAGCGTACTTGCCGAGCTCGGCGTCGCCAGCTAAGCTACAACCCCCCTAATTCTCAGGCTGAAGCCCTCCCAGCTGCCGTCGCCACGAAGCGCTCCTCCCAGACGGCCGTCGCGGCCGCCGCGAAGCGCCCATCCGACACGGCCGTCGCTGCTCAGGACGCCAAGAAGACCAAGAAGGAAGGTGACGCCGCCTGAACTCGTCGAGCTCGTCGCCCAACATTGAACCCCGGTCAAACCCACTTGCCAATGAACTTTTCGTGATTTCAAATAAAGCATTGCTGTTTTGTGGTTGTATTTTGTAGTTTGTATTCGGGCGGCTACACGATACAGGCTACAGAGTACAGATGTATACGATCGGTTACAGATTACATTCAAAAACATACGAAAAGCGGTTCTGGACTGCTAGCGGGGGAGGGGAGATAAAGTAAGTTGAAGACGAGCAACAGAAGCCCCCTCAAAAACCTTTCAGCAAAACCCCCGAAAATTCCGCGGCCATCCCATTGTTGGGGGGCGTCACGAGTAGCGCGGCGTTCAGCTCGAGATTGGCCCTTGAGGGCCCCAGAAAATGGGGCCCACCACTTGCCGGTGGGGCCCCTCGGATCCCAACAAGTTGCAAAACCTGCAGAATTCTGGAAAGTATTATTTTATTCTGGAATCGATGGGCAAGCTAGCAGAGATCGTTTGGGAATGAGGGGGCAAGCTGGCTAAAAATTACAAGAGAATGAAGTGTTGTAAAAATTGTTTTTTTTTGCCTTCCAACCCTTCTGGCTTAAGTGCAGCCCACCCCCGCCCACCCCCCGCCCGCAGCCGGCACCCACCTACCGTATATCGGCTCGCTGTTCATCTACAGGTGTGTAAAACCTACCAAAATACTCGCCAGAGCAAGACAACCAGTTTGGTATACTTTACACACCTGTAGATGAACAGGGAGCCGAGATACAAACGTTGGGTGCCGGCTGGAGGGGGTAAACTGCACTCTAACCCAAAGTCTCTCTACAACTTCAAGCGGCCCATACGCTAAGCCTAAGCTTAAGCCGAGCCCAAGCTAAGTAAGCCTAAACCTAAGCTAAGCTAAGACTAAGCCTGCCGGAAATGACCCAAAAACTCGCTGCCTCTCCCCCAGTACGAGTTGTGCCGTGAGTCGGAGGTACTGTACCCACCTTCCCCACACTTCCCATTGTTACAGCCAGCCTCTCATGACACACCCCAAAGTACCAACACGCCCTCCAGCTACAATACAAGCCAACAAGCCCCCGAGATGTTCACACAATCTGTTTGCCCCCATCAACACAGAGTATGAATGGATACGTGGTGCCTTCACAGTCCCTTTAAAAGGGTTCCTCGACACGGGGCAGGTGTTGGTTGGCAACGACCTCAGATTTGTCGAGGCCTCCCCCAGTTGCGTCACATGTGACCCCGGCCTTTTTGGCCAATGATATGGGCCAAATGAGCCGATGAAGCTGGTCAAAACGGTTCTTTCGCATTATCGGGGGGCGTTTGTAGCTGTCTAGAAATGCCCAGCCCAGCCCAGCCTAGGAAAACTATGAAAAATCTTTAAAAAGCCGAAAATTTCGTAAAAAACCGGCCATTTTCGGTCGAAAAACCTATATTCTTGATTTTTTCTGTTACAAATCTGTAAAGTTTTTTTGTTTAGGATTAGTAAAAACCATTTAGAAACACGTCCACTATTTATATCTGAAAAATTAGAACCTCTGACAGAATTTTTTGGCTACCGTAGTACAGCCCTCGCCATTCATGCATCCAGCTGACGCCTCGATACAATTGACGGAATACGTTGAAGTGGGCCCCAACACGTGTCCCGCTCCTTGTTGAAGACGCGGGTCGGGGAGGGGGATATCGGTGAGGATGTTGCGCAATTTCCTTCTTCCCATCAGCCGAGGGAAGAATAGGATCATAGCCTAAGGGCCCGTGTCTCAACATGGCCCTCGACCCCTACAAGGTAACACCTGCAAATTGGAGCACAATGCAGTAAAAATTCTCTTAAGGGGATAGGAAGGGAGAGCAGACGTTTTGCTAGATTGCCGAACCTTTATGTTGACGTCACGCCGAAATTACCACTACGGTTTGGAGCAAACTCTCCAGTGATCTTTGCTACTCTGCCCGACCCGTTCCTGAATTATCTCTGCTAGCAACTCTCCCTTATCTTCTCAAAACACCTCTGCTAACCTACCGCTCTAACTTCAAAAATGATCTCTGCTAGCCTGCCCTGAATTCTACCATACCTAACTCAGGCAAACTAGTAGTGATTCCTTATAAACCCCCTAGTGCTTCCGAGGCAAGCTAGCATAGATTCTTTGCCTTCTGGAACCCTTCACCCCCAAAAATACGCCCCAATTACGGTAAACGCTGATTACCCAACACCCCAGGGGTTAAATTGGCGTTGCTCAACGGTAGAATGGTGGTCACTGATTGGCCGGGCTACAGGGTGGCAATTGGGGCGAATTAGATCGAGGCAGATGGGCCATTTTATGTTCTTTAGAGTCTGGGGGAGATTGAACCCGGGTTGGCCCCGTTGCGCAACAATCTTCCTCCTACCGGCCGAACACCATCCACACCTGGCTACCGGACTAGATCAACAGAGTTTGGGTATCGGGGGTGAAGAAGAGGGTAAGGTGATACCTTAGGAATTACGGACGAGCGACAGGCTAGTAGAGAAGCCCAGGGTAACCAGCGTAAATCGTTAAGGAAAGTAAGGAGAGGCCAGCAGAAATTACGTGGGAATGAATGCAAGGGGCAGGCTAGCAGGGAATTTTAGGGGAACGAACTGACTGTCTTTCGAAGAAAACCCTTCAAGCCTGCCCCTTCGTGAAGAATCTCTGCTAGCCTGCCCTCAATTCCTAAATTACCTCTGCTAACGTCCCCATTTTGCCATCAAATCATCTCTGCCAGCCTGCCAGAATTTTTGAAATGAGCCGCTGCTTGTCGCAAACCAAACGGCCCTTGATTTTTCAATTAGCTGGCAGAGTCCGTTTGAGAATTTTCGCTTCCGCTTTTGCCATAGGGTTCAACACCCCTAGATCACGCTGTTGACTACCGTACCCCCCGGGTGAGGCATGTGGCAGCTGGCTTTCACTCTCTCTCTCTCCCCCTCTCTCTCTCTCTCTCTCTGTCTCTCTTCTTTCTCATGGGCAGCTGGGCGACCGTTTGGCCTGTGACGTAACGGGAAGCCGGCGTGGAACGTTCGAAGCCATAGGGGCTAGAAAATCAACACCCAATTGTCACCCAGGGCCAGCGGGCGGAGGGTAACGGCTGGCTGTAGCCTGGGGAGGTATGTTTGGGGTTTTGAATTTGAAGAGAAGCTTGCAGAGATCTTTTTAGGAATGGAGGCGAGGCAGGCTAGCAGCGATCATTTGGGAATAGCGAGACTGAAAATTTAGGTGCTGGTTAGCAGTGGCCATTTGAGAGGAGAAGCGACAGGCAAGCAGATATTCTTTAGGAAGGGGCAAGCTAGCAGAGATTTTTTAGGAAAGAGCAGCTAGCAGAGATTCTTTAGGAATGAGCAGGCTAGCAGAATTAATTTAGGAAAATATCTCCAGCAAGTAGAGACAGTTTAACGCTTCGAAGACGAGGCAGCTTAGCGGGGATCATGTTTAAATTTTCCTCAAAGATCCATGCTAGCATGCCCATCGCTTCCGCGCCCTGAGATCCCTAAACAATCTCTGCTAGCCTACCCCTAAAATTATTCATTATCCTGGGCCACAAAAAAGCAACACCGCCACTGTCTCGCTGCCCTCATTATACAGCATAGATTATGCAATTCCTGGGGGCGACAGATTTCATTCGTTGCCTCTCGTGGGGTCCCGCAGCGATCCCATCTCTCCCCATCAAAGCCGAGAAGACACATCAAAGCCCAGGAAGGGCCATAGACTCAAAATGAGCATATGGTTGCACGGGGTTTCCGGTTAGGGCCCCGGGGCCAAAATTGAGACAAGGGACCTGAAATGTAAATTTTATAAAGGCCGGGTCAACTTTAGGCAGAGATTCTTTAGGCAAGGGCAGGCTAGCAAAGATTCTTTAGGAAAGGGCAAGCCAGCGGAGATTCTTTAGGAAATGAGACATGGTTGTCGGGTCTTACGGTTAAAATTTTTGATGGCTTCGGCAAAGAATCTCTGCGCGATTGCCTGGGTATAAAATGCTGTCTCGTCCCCGCAAAATGTCTCTGCCAGCCTGCCCCTCTTCCTTCCTCTTCTGCACCTTCCCAAAAAATCTCTGCTAGCCTGCCACATTGAAAAAATTCAGCAGTCTATTTTCTTGTTTGCGCTCCTAAAAAATCTTTGATAGCTTGCCCGCCTTGTCCTAAAGAATCGCTGTTAACCTGCCAACCTCTGCTTGGCTGCCCTTTCCCAAATATTCTCTGCTAGCTACCCCATTTCCGGTCGGAGCATATGGTGGCTTCCGGCGTCTCAAAGACCCCGGAATCCGGCGCGTCAAGATGTGTACTGAAGATATGCCATCCGGGGCACATGAAGCTGAGACTTGTGACACGCTTCATCCCGCAATCTCAATAATAATCGTGACATCTACTCTAACCGTATGAAGGGTATACCTGGGGAGTTAGTTAGAATTTTAGGGACCAACTAATTCCCAAAACGGTGCAGCTTCACAATCCCTTTAAGACCCCCGGTTTCGAAATCGAAAGTGAAACCCCCGGGTCATTCTAATTTCTCTGGCCCTGGCAACGTGCCAGGGACAACGAGCGCCGCGCCAAAATCCGATTCGACGGGAAATCGGGGATTCCTGTTTTTGAGAAAATTTTTTGAAGGTTTTTGAAAACATAAATCTTATGGCCGGACAGATTTAACCTTATTTTGATAGAAATGTCAGCCAATAGTCGCCGCGAACTGTCGATCACTTTTTCGGAGGATGATCTCCGGGGGCCGGTGTTGGCAAGTGGTAGATGAACATTCCCGGTCCTGAATAATAAATCACGATTCTGATTCTAGCTAGCAAAGTTGAGAACTTTTTAGCAAATCCGCCAGTGTTACGGACTCCACCGCCAAATTTTGGTCACGACGAGAAGGAGGGCAGCATTATATTGGCTATGATGGAAGGTGGAAGATTCAGGCTTAGTTTAGGCCTAGACTTCGCTTAGACTTAGGCTTCTCTTAGGCTTAGGTTGGGCTTAGGCTTGAGGCTTAGCCTCTATATCCGTTTTGAAGCTCGATTTTTCAGAAAATCAACGCCGAGATCGAGCCCGGGAACGGTATCGTGCTGGGGAAGAGCAGCGCCAAAGGCGCGTTCTTCTTTGTTGCCTCTGCCAGCCTGCCTTCTTCATTCCGAAATGATCCCTGCTAGCCTGCCCCACTCTATTCCTGTAGTTTTTAGTGCAGCAGACGCATTCGCCGATCGGATGACGTTGAAATCGAGGAATACGGCGACGGCGGGGAGTGGACGGAGGTCGAGATCGGTGTTAGTAACTTTCCCAAAGGATCTCTGCTAGCCTGCCCGAAGTCCCAAATGATCTCTGCTCGTTTTCAGCTCAATCCAACAGCTCACCCCTCCCAAGCCGCTATCCCCGATCCGGATTCCGGATCCGACTCGCCGGAAGCGCCACTCCGATCGAGAATACTTCCAGTGGGATTCGGACGGCGACGGGTATAGAACGAGACCGGATGGAGATGTACATGGTGCGTACGATCCGAAGCTTAAGCCTAAGAACAAGCCTAAGCTAAGCCCAAACCTAAGCCTAGATTTAGGACACCCAGCCAGCCGCCCGGGCTCTTGCTTGCTATGCAAATGGGCCAGAGAATACGAGGAAAAGGAGCGACGACGGCAAGCCGTTCAGGCTAGTCGAGAGCCAGATGAAAGCTGCGTACAGGTTAGAAGCGATTTTAAACAGACTAGCAGAGATTCTTTAGGAAGGGCAGGCTGCAGAGTTCTTTAGGAAAGGGCAGGCTAGCAGAGATTCTTTAAGAAAGCGCAGGCTAGCAGAGACCATTTGCCCCCTTTCAGGTGGACCGCATACTGTATTCCCGAAATGGTTGGGAAAATTCATTCCTAAAAACGAATATTGCCGATTTGCCGACCCCAATTTCCCGCAGCTATTATCGCGATTTTGAGAGTCGTTAGGATTAATTTGCATAATTCCTGTAATTTTTCATCGTATCAAATCCTGTTTTAAATATATATAAATTTATTCATCATCTTCATCTTGTGCAAAAAAAATTCCAAAAAAAATAATTGAAATACACACACACGACAATCGAAGAAAACCGAAGACACCTGATATGCAAAGCACAGAAAATAACCGAAAATGGGCGGGGCGGGCTTGGAATTTATGCAAATTTTGCTGATTTTTTAACCGATCGATTCAGCATTAAATTAGATAAAATTTTATTAAGTTCCAAGCCGCCCGACTTGCATGGGCCGGATTAATAGTGGGAATTGGGAGCTTTTGCATTATCGGGGGTATTTTTAATGGAGATTAATTTTAATATAAACATAGGAAAGTTTTCTAAAATTTTTTACTATTTCTAAACGTAAAAACTTTACAAATTTTTATCAAGAAAATGCAAAAATATGATTTTTGACAAAAATTTCGGATTTTAAAATTTTAAGATTTTTTGGTAGTAGTTGGTACAAAAAAAGATCCCCGATAATGCAAAAGCGCCCGAGATTTACATTTAAAAAGAGCCGAGGCATTTGGCAATTAGAATTTATTGTAATTTTGAAAGTATTGTATGCAAATTTAGTGCCTGAAAAATACAATAGCATAAAGGTATATTTTAAGGTAAGCCAGAAAATGAGCAATTTGTTGACTGCGATTATAAAAAAATTCGGAGGAGGAGGCGATCGATTAAAGGAACCGGCAAGGCAGAGTTATGGGACTTTTACTCGCGCTGAATTAGTTACGCTTAGGCTTAGCTTCGGCTTAGCTTAGGCTTTGCTTGGGCCTAGCTTCGGCTTCAGCTTAGGCTTAGCTTAGGCTTAGCTTCGGCTTAGCTTAAGCTTAGCCTGGGCTCAGCTTAGGCTCAGGCTTATCATCCAGGAACCCACAGCCAAAAATCAGTACCCATGCCTTGCCGACCCCTTTAAAAAGAAAGATTCGTGTGGGGGTGTGATGTTGCGCCAAGGCATTTTTGTATATACTTAAAACTATACATATTTCTGGCACTGAAAAAATAGGTTTCTATAACCGTTTACGCATTAATGGGGATGGCGGTGTGACGAAACTTCGCTTTTACGAAATTTACGAAGGTTAAAAGCTCTTTTAAAGGGACAGTGACACCAAGGACTGGCTGTTGAAAGGGACGGTAACAGCAGCAGTAAATCAATAACGCGCCCCTCCGTACGGTGCGCGTATCCCTCTGTACGTCCACGTCGTCGTACTCGTCGTAGCCGTGGCGATCAGGCTGCTGGGGGACTTGAGTGAATCTGGAAAAAAGTGGAAATGATCTCTGCTGGCCTGCCTTGAAAGTAAGCTTAGCCTAAACTAAGCCAAGCTCCAAGCTAATCCT